ACACGTACGACCTGCACACGTACGACCTGAACACATACTCCCTGCACATGTACTACCTGCACACATACGACCTGCACACATAGGACCTGCACACGTACGACCTGCACACCTACGACCTGAACACGTACGACCTGCACACTTACTCCCTGCACACGTACGACCTGCACACATACAACCTGCACACATAGGACCTGAACAAATGTACGACCTGTACACGTATGACCTGCACACGTACCACCTGCACACATAGGACCTGAACATGTACGACCTGCACACATAGGACCTGAACACGTACGACCTGCACACATAGGACCTGAATACGTACGACCTGAACATGTATGACCTGAACACGTATGACCTGCACACGTACAACCTGAACACGTACGACCTGAATACGTACGACCTGCACGTATGACTTGCACACGTACGACCTGCACACGACCTGCACACGTACGAACTGCACATGTACGACCTGAACACGTACGACCTGCACATACACCTACACAAGACCTGCACAAGTACGACCTGCACACATAGGACCTTACGACCTTACGACCTTTGCACACTTATAGTTTATGCAAATTAGTCATGTGGTTTTCAGTTTTGCTTCTGTAAAATGTAAACAAATGTGTCGAAGCTAAATTAAACACATTATTATAATCTCATGGTTGTTTGTATTTTTCCTGGTTTATTAAATATATAATTTTTGCACTTGCAAATTTGTAAGATTATGTCAAGAAACCGGGACACACAGGGACATGAGAATCCCAGTTTCTCCACACGCATGTAAACAACAGATCCTGAATACTGACATAACCGGGATATGGATAATAACCGGGACACTGATGTGCATGTGAACAAACTCACTAAAACAAATTCTCTCGATGTCTCAAGTTTGACGTCCTCACCATCTAGAATCTGAAAAGCTCCAATAACCAGACTCCTCCCTCTGTACCCAGACCCCTCCCCCTGTACCCAGACTCCTCCCTCTGTACCCAGACCCCTCCCCCTGTACCCAGACCCCTCCCTCTGTACACAGACTCCTCCCTCTGTACCCAGACCCCTCCCTCTGTACCCAGACCCCTCCCTCTAGAGTCTGGTCAGGTACAGTTTTGAGTAAAATGTTTCTTGCCCAGTTGCAGATATATTAGTGTTGTAGAAGCAGCATAAGTTTTTCGATGGTCTGAAAAAACCCAAAGTGAAAGGTGAGAGTGACTGAGTGAAAAACGGTCGGCTGATGCTGATGAGCGTGTGACTGTGATGTTATTTGAGAGGGACGAGTTTAGCAGTAAAAAAAAAATCTGCTCACCTGTTGTAGCTCTGCTCAGATTGTGTTAAAACAAAGATCAGATTAAAGTCTGACCTGAATAACGGAGTTCCAGACAAAACATGTCTCCAGTTAGCGTCACCAACCCCCTGCCCATGGAAAGATGAATGCAACATGTTTTTGTTTATCTTTTGTTTTTGTTTAATTTTCCCATAGTTAAATGTCCAAAAACACAATATAAATGTGATGAATTATAATTGTTTACATGATAAATTTAAAATCTCAAACAGTTTTCGACATTTACAAAACTGCACTGCTCAGCCCCATCCCCACCACACACACTTCACAAAGTCATAAAGTTACACAGAGTCCTTCTTTTATGTCACTGTGTTTTCACTTTCAGCCACAGACACTGAACTGTCATTCCACCACAGTCTGAACCCAGGGAACAGAGGCTCAGTGAAGGAGGAGGTGAAGGTGTAGCGATGGATCAGTTTTCCATCAGAGAGGACCTCATAGAAGGACAAAGATCCAGCCTCAGTGTCCAGGAACACACCCACTCTGCCAGAGAGCACAACCTGTTCTGATGAAAGTCCTTGTGGAGAGATGTATTTTCGTTTGTTGTTGTGTTTGATGCTGTATCGTCCATAATTGACCTGTAGACTCCAGGACTGATCATTTTCTCCAAACTTACTCTCCTTTCCTGCTCCTCTCCGTCTGATTCTTCTGTAACCCACTGCTATATCGACCTCCCCTCTCCACTCCACCTCCCAGTAACAGCGCCCCCTCAGGCCAGTGGAGCTCAGGACCTGAGTCAGGTCTGTGAATTTGTCCTCATGATCTGGATACAGCTGCTCCTCTTTCTCCCAGGTGACTCTCTGTTTGTCCTCAGACAGTTTGAGTTTTCTGTGAATTGTGTTTGGATCCAGAGAGAACTCACAGGAGTCTGAAACACAAACAGCTGAGTTAAAACTGCAAATACAACAGGTCAAATTAAAAGGAACTAGAGATGGTTCTATTTGTCTTTGACCTACAATGTGTTATTCATTTATATATGAACATGTTAATTTATATGAACACAGCAACGAGGCCAGTTACATTGCCCAAATTGGCCTTACTACCACAACGGAGCCAGGCCTGAGGTGGGTGTTCGACATCAAGCGCCTGGTGGCCGGGCCTTCTTCCACAGGCTCAGCCCGAAGGAGTGACATGGGGCAGTCCTCATGTGGACCCCACCACCTGAGAAAGGTCTGGGCTGCAGTTAAAGGTGGGGGACTCAGCAACCAGATCATGGAGACTCTGGGGACATGGAATGTCATCTCGCTGGGGGGGAAGAAGCCTGAGCTTGTATAGCTTGTAGATATAGTCACCCTCACCTCCATGCACAGCTTGGGCTTTGGAAACCAAGTCCTGTGTTGCCTGCATGGAGCGGCGGCGAGCTGGTGTGTGCATGCTCATTGCTCCACAGCTCAGCCGCTGTGAGTTGGAGTTCCGGGGTGGTGGTCCCTCTGTATAAGAAGAGGGACCGGAGGGTGTGTTCCAACTACAGGGGAATCACACTCCTCAGCCTTCCTGGTCTATGCCAGGGACGGGAGAGGAGAATCCGGCCGATAGTCGAACCTCGGATTCAGGAGGAGCAATGTGGTTTTCGTCTTGGCCGTGGAACACTGGACCAGCTCTACACTCTCCATCGGTGCTCGAGGGTTCATGGGAGTTTGTCCAACCAGTCCACATGTACTTTGTGGATCTGGAGAAGGCATTCAACCGTGTCCCTCGTGGTGTCCTGTGGGGGGTGCTCTGGGAGTATGGGGTTTGGGGCTCATTGTTGTTCTCGGTGTATGTTGGACTCCCTGTCACTGGTTCTGTTCATTGTTTTTATGGACAGAATTTCTAGGTGCAGTCAGGGGTCGGAGGGGGTCCAGTTTGGGGACCACAGGATCAGCTCTGCTGTTCGCAGATGAAGTTGTCCTGTTGGCTTCATCAGACCAGGACCTGCAGCACTGGGGCGGTTTGAGCCAAGTGTGAAGAGTCTGGGATGAAGATCAGTTCTTTCAAGTCCGAGGTCGTGGTTCTCGACCAGAAAAAGGCGTCTTGTCATCTCCGGGTGGGTGGAGAGTCTCTGCCTCAAGTGGAGGAGTTCAAGTCTGTCAGGGTCTTGTCATTGAGTGAGGGGAGGATGGAGCGTGAGAGTGACAGGTGGACAGGTGCAGTATTGGCAGTGATGTGGTCGCTGTATCGGACCGTTGTGGTGAAGAGGAGCTGAGTCAAACGGCAAAGCTCTTGATTTACCGTCAGTCTCCGTTCCTCCCCTCACCTCTGATCACAAATACAAGCGGCCAAAATGAGCTTCCTCCATAGGGTGTCTGGGTGTCTTAGAAATAGGATGAGGAGCTCAGTCACACAGGAGGAGCTCAGAGTAGAGCTGGGGCTCCTCCATATGGAGTGGAGCAGTTGAGGGGAGGGCATCTGTTCTGATGCCTCCCCGGGGAAAACCCAGGACACACTGGAAGGACTATGTCTCTGGGCTGGCCTGGGAACGCCTTGGGGTCCACCCAGAGGACCTGGAGGAAGTGCCTGGTGTGAAGGAAGTCTGGGAGTCCATGCTTAGACTGATGCCCCCATGACCTGGCCCCAGATAAGAGGAAGAAAATGGATAGATGGACGGGACAAAATAAAAACAGAAAATCATATTTTCTCTGGACTTCCCTTGAGTTTTCTGTTTCTGCTTTGGACTGAGGACTCACATTTTCTGGGACCTGGGACCATCCAACACTCTCCAGCAGGATCCAACCTGAAACACACAAGTCCAGTTTAGACCAGACCAGAGACCAGGATCTGGACCCACCATGGACCAGAGACCTACTGAACCAGGACCCACACCTGACAGACAGCAGGGGGCAGTGTGGTCTCACCTGACAGACAGCAGGGGGCAGTGTGGTCTCACCTGACAGACAGCAGGGGGCAGTGTGGTCTCACCTGACAGACAGCAGGGGGCGCTGGTCCCGTAGAGCGGTCAGGAGCTCTGCTGAGGGTCCTGGATGGTTGTAGCTCAGGTCCAACTCTCTGAGGTGGGAGGGGGCGGAGCTCAGAGCTGAGGCCAGAGCAGCCCCGCCCCTCTCTGAGACCAGACATCCAGACAGCCTAAAGACACAGCATTACACTCATGTGGACACAAGGGGGCAGAGTGCATCATGGGAGCGTCTCACCTGAGCGTCTCCAGGCTGCAGGGGGCGCTCTTCAGTCCAGAACACAGCAGCTCCACTCCTGAGTCCTGGAGGTCGTTGTGACTGAGATCCAGATGTGTGAGACTGGAGGAGCTGAGGACTGAGGCCAGAGGACCACAGCTGTGAGGGGACAGACCACAGCCACAAAGACTGAGGACAGAGAGGGACATTAGAGACTAGAACCTCCACACAAGAGTTTAAATACAGTCTGGACTCACAGGGCTTTGGTGGAGGCTCTGACCACCGGCAGCAGACACAGGAGAGCTGTCTCTGAGGCACAACATTTCCTCAGGTCAAACTCCTCCAGGTCTGAGGACAGTAAGACGAAGGACAGAGCAGACCACTCAGCAGGAGACATGTGATTATCAGCGAGACGTCCTCCGCTCATGTACCACTGTATGTCCTGCATCAGACTGTGGTCGTTGAGTTCGTTCAGACAGTGGAGCAGGTTCATTCTTCTCTCTGCAGTCAGACCCTTTTCATTCAGCTTCTGTTTGATGTACTTTACTGTCTCCTGACATTTACTTCCTGTGTGAGTCAGCAGACCCTGCAGCAGCCTCTGATTGGTCGGCAGAGACAGCCCCAGGAGGAAGCGCAGGAACAGGTCCAGGTGTCCGTTTGGACTCTGTAAGGCCTGGTCCACAGCAGAGCGGTAGAAGGCTTCAGGGTCTGGACTCTCAGAGGAGTGTGGTGTCTCCAGCAGGTTCTCTCCAGAGCTGAAGAAGGTCAGATGGACGTGAAGAGCAGCCAGAAACTCCTGCACACTCAGATGGATGAAGCAGTAGACCCTGTCCTGGTACAGGCCTGGCTCCTCTCTAAAGACCTGTGTGAACACTCCGGAGTACACTGAGGCCGCTGCAGCGTCCAGCCCACACTCGCTCAGGTCACTCTCGTAGAAGATCAGGTTTCCTTTCTGCAGCTGCTCAAAGGCCAGTTTTCCCAGAGACTTCACCATCTCCCTGGTCTCTGGAGTCCAGTGAAGGTCCTCCCCTGATCCCTGGTGATACTTGATGTTCTGGACTTTGGCCTGCACCACCAGGAAGTGGACGTACATCTGTGTGAGAGTCCGGGGCAGCTCTGGTTCCTCTGTTTGTTCCAGAAGCTTCTGTAGAACTGTGGAGAGGATCCAGCAGAAGATCGGCATGTGGCTCATGATGTGGAGGCTGCGGACGCTCTTGATGTGGGAGATGACGGCTGTGGCCTGGTCTCTGAACCTCTTCCTGAAGTACTGCTCCTTCTGCGAGTCGGTGAACCCTCGCACCTCTGTCACTATGGAGACGCACTCAGCAGGGATCTGATTGGCCGCGGCAGGGCGCGTGGTTATCCAGAGGCGAGCGGAGGGAAGCAGGCTCCCCCTGATGAGGTTCACCAGCAGCACGTGCACTGAGGCGGACTCTGTGGGGTCGATCAGGACCCGGGTTCGGCCGAAGTCCAGAGGAAGTCTGCACTCGTCCAGACCGTCAAAGATGAAGAGCACCTGGAGCTGTTGGAAGCTGCAGAGATGTTTGGATGGACTGAAGAAGTGGTGCAGCAGCTTCACCAGGCTGAACTGTGTGTCTCTGAGCACATTGAGCTCTCTGAAAGTGAACGGGAACAGCAGCTGGAGGTCCTGGTGGGCCCGGCCTTCAGCCCAGTCCAGACTGAACTTCTGAGTCAGCACTGTTTTCCCCACGCCGGCCACGCCCTTCGTCAGCACTAATCTGATTGGCTGTGGTGAATGTGGGCGGGGTTTAAAGAGCTCTTCACATGTGATGGTCTCTGGAGCGGCCGGTCTCCTGGACGCCGTCTCCATGTGTCTGACCTCATGTTCCTGGTTGACCTCTGAGGCTCCGCCCTCTGTGATGTAGAGCTCTGTGTAGATCTGGGTCAGGGGGGCGGAGTCTCCTGCTTTAGCCACGCCCTCAAACACACGACTGAATCTCTGCTGCAGATGCCTCTTCAGTTTCTCACAGTGAACTCCAACTTCAGTCCCTGAGGAAGACAACAGAGGCCCTCAGTGAACTCACAATCTCCAAATGATACAATACATAAAACTCCCCCGCAGCACTGAATTAAACAAACACCTGCAGAACCTTTTGTGGATGGAACGAAGGCCCCTGCAACTGAAGTCAATGTGGGGATGAATTTGAGACTGACAGTCGTCTTAGTCAATCATATTTCATTGAGTCATGGACGGGATCATATTACGACATCTTCCAGGCCTTTGCGAATACCCTGTGATAGCTAAATAGATAAATATAAGTGAGCGATAAATGCTCTCTGCTCGCTCTGTCCCACCCTAACTCTCCACTGGTGGCATGTTACTGCTACTGGCTAATGAATGGAGAACAGAGCTGTGTGCTACAGGAGTTACATCCAGTTCAACTTTAAGTCAAAGCACGTCCGAGGAACAGTTTTTCTCCTCAGTGGGACTCTTCTGCCAAACAGATAATAGTGTATAATCTGTAGGACACGGGCAGAGGTCAGTCTGTTCGTCCAGCACAGAGGAGTGGAGATGAGTTGAGGATCTTCTATGGCCCTGTCCAGCTCTCCTAGACTAACAACTTGTCTCCTGAAATCTCCTCCATGTTCTGGAGATTGTGCTGGAGACACATTAAATCTCCTTGCGATGGCGTGTCCAGATGTGTCATTCTGGAGAAGTTGGACAATCTGTGGCGCTTCTGTAGGGTTAAAGAACGGCCTCATACTCTCAGTGGTGATAATCACTGTAGCCAAAGCAGCACTAGTGGAAAACCAGCCAAAAAAGAAAAACAAAAAAACAAGAGGAGAAACTTGAAATGAGCTCCACATACAAATCCAGTCCTGTTTTAGGGGTCGTCTCACTGGTGCTGCTCTAGTGCAGAAAAGAGGAGCATCCTTTTGTTCCTCAGACACTGCCCTGTCCACATTTGTATAGAAATACAACATATGTTTTTTTCACACTGAGGTCTGATGTGTTTTCAGTGTGTTTTATAATTTCTGTGAGCAGTATCTTCATTTAGGGACAAAACAGTGAAATAAAGCAACATTTATGGAGAAAGGGGTGAAGATTTTTCAATAGAAATCAACTGCAACCAGAGCTTGAAGAAACCACTTCACGCTCTTGTTCACTTCCTGTTTGGAACATGGCGACTGCCAGACTAACTATGTCCATTTATATACAGAGTCTGTGGTTGTTCTTACTGTTCTCCAGACGCTGGGCCAGATGCTCCTGGTCCATCCTCTTCAGGAAGTCCAGGGTGATGTTCAGAACCTCTGTGCTCAGCTCCTCACCCTCAGAGCATTCTGGGTAATCTGAGGCCAGGAGCCTGTGGAGCCTCTGCAGCTGCTGTTGGACATAAACCAGGACCTGCTCCTCCAGAACCTGAAACACACAGTTTGGACTGAAGTAAGGAAAGTAAAGATGAGTGGAGCTGGTAACAATTCTGGGTTGAAAAATAAACTTCATGAGATTATGAACTGGCCCAGAACTTCTCCTAATAATTGAACCTTTATGCAAAGCTGCTGTGGAGGTTTGTGTTGGACAAACTGCAGTAAAATAAAACATTTATACAAATTTAGTTATACATTATTTGTTTTGAAATAAATTTTATTTTTAGGGCTGGGCAAAAAATAAAATAAATAGCAGCAGCAGGGCACTAGTCTATAAAGTCCATGTTTATTCTTCCTCTGGAGAATCTTACTCAACAAAAGAAGCAGTTTAGGTTCAGTTTGTCAGTTCCTAGAATTTGACTTAATGAATTGAATTAAAACATAAACTTCATGTGATCAGCAGCAGGAAAATAAATCTCAACTGAAAAAAATCTAATGAAAAACTGAAATGTATTTCCACTGCCAGAGCTTTAATGTTTCCTGTTTGATATAAAAATGAGAATCTGTCAAAAACAGTAAAAAACAGAACACACAACCAGAAAACACTTTCAGTGCAGTTTGTCAACTCCTAGAACTTACTTCTTTTATGGCACCGACTTCTCCTGGAGGAAAAGTGAGACCAGGGGAGGGGTGTGTGGTTGTGATGAAGAGTGATGGACAGCACGGTGGAGCCTCTGAAAGCTCCTGGTGCCCTACGCGCTGTGCGTGATGTGCATGTGCTCCACGTGTTTCATTGAATCATTTGCATCACCAGAGTGTTTTGCGTTTAGGTGACATTTCAGACTCGTGAAACTCCAGTGATGAGACAGTTCAGTGTTGCAGTTTTACAAATGACTTTGTCGACGCCGTCTGAAGAAATTTTAAATGAAAATGACCATGTAAAGGTTCCTCACCCTTCTCCATGTTTGTTCATCCCACTTTCTTTCTCTCTGTTTTCTGTGAGCGCCGCAGAAGTAAGCAATTCTAGACTCACTCACGATGGACTTTTTCAAAATAAAAGCCAGTCAGCAATGGACATTTACAATAAAAAATAAAAAAATATATATATACACACATATATATATATATATATATATTATATATATATATATATATATATATAATATATGTGTGTGTGTGTGTTGTGTATTATATATATATATATTATATATAATTATATATAATAAAAACTGTATTAACTGCGTTAATATAATTGTCTATAATTAATTAATTAAATAACGCAAAATTAATGCTTTAACGTGATTGGCCCTAGTTATTTTCAGTCTGAGATGGGTGAGGCTGAGGGAACCAAACCAGGCTGTGATATTGAAGGACGGATTTTTATGCATTTGTATAAAACAGTAAAAGTTGATGGTGGTCCTGTAGTTTGTGAAATTTATGGAGAAAGAAGAGGCGTGTTCTGTATTGAGTTGAAAAGTGAGTTTTTGATCAGTTATGTGTACTGGATTGTTGCATTTATTGATAAAGTTTTTTAGGTTAAACAGGAAAAGCACTTTTTCAATGTAATTTAGTCCAAATGAACTTAAATAGAACAGAAATGTGTCTTTCACTTTATGCTCTGGATCAGTGAATCCTCAGCTCCTACAAAAGAGCATTTGAGACGTGGCTCCTTAACCTTGCTCTGTCGTGTCCATGTACAACTCTCTGTGTTCACATAATTGTTGGTGTGGATCACAAATCGTGTATTTTCAGATAAAAACCTCCCGTACACCGTGTGGACCCTGGTCTCTACTGACAGGATTTCAGGACAGAGACAGACACGTGAAAGTCGGTGTGTTGGACAGGACAGATGCTGGGACACTCACCTCTTCTGTAGATTAAGATGGACAGGGCCAAAGTGTGACAGGTGAAGTGTCTTTTT